GCTGATCAACTTGTGGAATCAGTGGAACATGTTCACAAATTCTTGGAAGAGGACCTTTTCCAAACAATTAAGAACTTGGGGAAACTGGAAATCCTCGATTGATAAGATATTGATGATAAGGTGTGATAAGATCAATAATTTTTGGATTTAAGAATACGTCCCCATCTAGCAAAAGCTATTAATAACATTTTAGAAAACCCAAAGGAACTCTCGGAATGGCCCACATGTGTCATCACGTATTTGCTACACAAAGAGGAAGACCGCTGTTTGGCGTAGAACTACAAATCAATTAGTTGTCTGCCAGTAATATACAAAGTTATAACTGCAGCCATAGCTGACAAAATGTAGAGCACCTAGAGAAGAGCCATTTGTTGCCAGTCGAACAGAAAGGATCGTAAAAGTTCCTATGGCTATAAGGAAATCTACTAAATGCTACTAAATAAAGTCATCATGAATGATGTAAGGAAACGAAAATTAATTTAAGCATGGCTTGGGCAGACCAACAAGGGTATTTTTCAAGGAGATTCGCTATTCCCTCTGCTGTTTTGCATTAGTTTGATCCCACTATCTAGTCATGTCGCAGGCTGACTTTGGTTACAAGCTCAATGGTGATGAAAGACCAGTATCACATTTATCTTACATGGATGATCAAGTGTGTGTTAAGAACGAAGCGATTCTCTCCCAAAGGATGTCTCGTCAGTGATTTTAGTAATTACATCGGCATGAAATTTGTTTTTGACAAGTGTGCAAAAATCAATTTAAAGAGAGGGAAAATTTCGTCAGAGAACTGTGAAGTTAACATGCACACTGTAATTCAAGATCTTGAGCCAGGTAAAACACAAATATCTGGGCATTGAAAAATGCGAACGACACAGTGAAAGAGAGAATGCACAAGGAGTATTACAGAAGAGTGAGACTTGTTCGTCAGTTCGCTCTGAACTTCAAGAACAAAATATCTGCAATAGGTAGTGTGGCGGTTTCTTTAGCCCGAAACGGTTTCGGATTCGTGGACTGAATCTGGCAAGAAATCTGAATCATTGATCGAAAAACCAGAAAACTGTTTACAATGTATCATGTCGCCCACTCTCGAGCTAATATACGTAGACTTTGTATCACGTAAAGAGGAAGAGTTCTCAGAAAACATTGAAGCCTCCTGGCACAATGCAATAGTTGGAATGGGAATGTATGACGTCAGCCATCAAGATCACCCACTAATGAGCCATGTTATTAAATCTGACCGAAGAATGGGAAACAGAGGCATTGAAAGTGTACCAAGAACCATTGCGAAGAAAACTATGCAAGACACGTAGAATAACACAGACATTGAACTTCTGCTACTACTGAACATGAAATGTGAAACTAAAAAAAATGTTAAAGAAATTCTGCAGTGACAAACCACTCCATGGACAATTTCGAAAAGAATGCACAAGGTGTAGACCTAATTTAAGATCAATAAATTATGTGGCTTAAAAGAGGAAGAAAGAAGCCAGAATCAGTTGTAATAGCTGCCCAAGATCACGCGTTGAGAACACGACATTATGATAAAGCAATTCTTAACATTTCCGAAGATTATAAATGTCGCATTTGCCAGAAACAAGTAGAAGCCATTGATTATATCGTTTCAGCTTGTCCAATTCTAACTATGTCTGGATTCTTGAAAAGACGCAGCATGATATGTGCTTGCCTCCAGTGGCCAATCTGTACCGTCCTCAGAGTGCCAAACACATGCTCTAAATGGTATGATCACTCACCCAAACCGATATCGTCTGTTGGACTGTGTACAATACGATCGATAAATTTCAACTGATCGCGCACTATAGCGGCAAACAAACCGGATATTGGTATCCGGGATTTGGAGAAAAACGTGACTACTTGTAGATGTTGCAGTGCCGTACGATCAAAACGTAATCGAGGACGCAGAGAAACATCTTAATACAAGAAATCGGAAATCGAGATCAGCTGAACATAGAGCGTAAAAGCGCAAGTCGCCCCCAATAGTTATCGGAGCTCTGGGAAAGTAGGAAGAGTTAGTACGAATTATGAAAATGGAGGGTAGGAGACAATGTGGATGTGGTAGTAAATTACACAGTTTTTCGTACAGAATCTGGCTGAAATTAGGGGGGTTATAGTCAGGTGAGCAAGATAATTACAACTTAATAAGAAAACAATACAATGAGTATAATGATATTTTGTGGCAATAATTTCATATTTATTGCAAAAGTAGTAGTAAAAATAATGCTAACAATAGACAATAGGATATTAAGAGTAAGAATGGCGGTAATATTGTATTATAAACAAATATCTTGCAGTATTGAATGTGAAATACAGATTCGAAAATAAAGTGTACTTTAGCCATTTTCGAAGAGTTTCTAATGAAAACTGAACATGTGCCATAACTAGTATTAAACAAACCTTGCTCTATTTGAAAAAAATGTTGAGGCTGCCAAATACTCGTAGAATAAGTTGGGAGAGAAATTAGTGGAAGCTGCAACGAAACATCACCTCTTCTATCAATAGCTTTTTATCAGACAAGAGTGTTCTGGAAAAGAGAAGATACACATTGACAAATATTGTTACTTGGAAAAAGAATTAACGAAGAAAAAAAGAAATGTTGAAGAGATTGTCACAGTTACCTCTGTCCAGACGAAATCAAACTTTTCTTTACGAATTTCGTCGTTTTACTTCACGTTACGATTGCTTCCAGTACCTCTGATGACAATGCTAGCTGGTGACGCGTCGTGGTGTCTGCCGTTGAAATCAGTGGGTTCCGCAAAATTTTGACACTGATATATTTTACGCGGGGCTGCCCAGGAGCTGATGCGATCTGTCGGTGACGCTCCGAACAGGAAACAGTTGACAATTACGTCAAGGAACTTTGTACGAAAGAAGTGAATATTTGGACAGTCGGGAGCTCCAGAGCCCCAGGTTTGAAATGTATGATCCTTTCCTCTGAAACGCCTTCAAAGAACATCAAAAGTGCCCTATTAGAATTGAGGCGGCAAATTTGAAGCAATTTGGTCAATGTGCCAACACGAGAAAAAATATGAAACTATTTTTTAGAATATTGTTTGCAAATTTCCTTAAATTATCACTATTTTACTAAAAATTATACTAAAACTACTGATATTTTGCAAGGTCGTACAAGGCATTAATTTAAAGATTCTGATAAACATATTTCAGTTACAAATTATTCTCGCTCCAATGCAGATGTAGTCGGAGTGGTCCTAAACATTTTCGAAAATTCAGAGATTTAAATTAAAATCGGATTTTTTCCCCATTTTTATTAGTGTATTTCAGCAAAAGTGAAGACAAAATTTAGAACCATTTTTGAGAACATTTTGAATATGTCGTTCTGGCTTTACGGTATCTCCAAAATTGAAATATCCGTTTCTAATTTGTTTTGAATTTGATCGTGACCAAATTTCGAGCTTTGACCAGACCGAGCTTCGAGTTCGATCGACCTCCGAGTTCGATCGACCTCCGAGTTCGATCGACCTCCGAGTGTCGAGTCGAGTTCCGCCGAGTTGCGAGTCCCGATCGGCCCGAGTGTCGATCGATCGCGATTCGAGTCGATCGCCCGGAGTGTCGATGCGATCGCCGAGTTCGATCCGATCGCCGAGGTTGCGGGATCGAGTCGCCGGAGTCGGATCCATTCGCGGCCGAGTTCGATCGAGTCGGCCGAGTTCGAGTGCGGATTCGCCGAGAGGTTCGATCTAGCGGCCGAGGTCGATCGGAGTCGGCCGGAGTTCGACGATTCGCCCGAGTCGATCCCCGAGTCGCCGAGTTCGATCGATGCCGCCGATTCGATATTCGCCGAGTTCGGATGCGATCCCCGAAGTTCGATCGATTCTGCCGAGTTCGATCGAATCTCCCGAGTTCGAGTCGGAGGTCTCCGGAGTTCGAGTCGATCTCCGAGTTCGATCGATCTCCGAGTTCGATCGATCTCCGAGTTCGATCGATCTCCGAGTTCGGCCAGATCAATTGCGGAATGTAAATTTTGGAGAAAATCGTGCGAACGAATTAGGTGGTAGTGTTGAACACACACGGATAGGCAGACATATTTTGCCGCAAACCAATTTTTCGGCATCAAGGAATCACAAAACGTGCATTCTCACTACACAACGTACTAAAGGGAATAATTTACTATATACATACACACACACATATATATATATATATATATATATATATATATATATATATATATATATATATACATACATATATACATATATACATACATACATACATACATACACAATTTTCGCGAGATTTATCAACATTTTCGATATCAGTGTCAGAATCCGAATTTTTCTATCGAAATATTACCACCTGTGGCTTTACAATAGTTTCTCTCTGCTACTTAAGTACGTAGTACGCGAGTATGTAACATTTAAATTCATAAACATTTATATTTTTTAACTATACAATACATGCCAAATTGATTTTAGGTGGTATACATACTAAAATGTTTTATGTACGTTGTCTTTCATCACCTTACCTTTACTGTTGGTTAAGCTGATTTATCCACCATCAAGCAACCTCTTCTTAGCGCAGCGCGAACAGGAATACATATGTTAAACTGTAGAATACTGAACGTGTCGGTCTATGATCCTGAGTAAATCAAGAAAAACCGTGCGAAGAGAAGATATACGTTTGAAGGAAAACTATGTTCATGAATAAAACTGCAATCTTTCATTACCAGAATTTGATATGCGTCAAATTGTAGAGTAATTAAATATGAAAGTATTTTCTCTGTCGAATGATGTAGAATTCAATATTTGATTCATAATTCATTTTTTTATAAAAATCGTTTAGTAGATACAATGATCTTATTACACGACGTATGCTGTAAGACGTGAGAAAGTGATTATGAAATTCTACTTATTTATTTTGACAGATTATTTTCTATTATTGCACCATTAATTTTTACTTCCTGCGAATATTACGTATTCGCAGGAAATGGAGAAGAGTTTTTATTGCGTTAAATTTATTTCCAGGCAATGCATAATGCCTATTTCTTTAAGAAACCAACACCATGCCCATTATGCAATATGCCAAAACCGAAAGCAGACCATAGAAGGCAACTGGCAAACAAGCCAAGTTATTTGAATGTAGATTCATCAATGGAAGAGATCTTTCAAGACCTAAATGAATTAATCTCATATGAATTATCATCTTCTTCATCACAGTCCTCAGATTGGAGTGTATGTTGATAATTATTTATTTATCTTAACGTAGAATGTTTCCTTATAGATGCACAAACATTTGCAAGCACATTTATACATTATTCACAAATCTGTTGATGCATTTGCATGTTAGAAACTCTTATTTTATTATTATACATCGTGTATGTAGAAATGTGCTCACTGTTTGTAGTGTTAGTGAATGGAGGTGATTTGATCAACAGCTGTCAAATTCCAGGAGTTAATAGGGGACAATAAATGTGAAAGAACGACAAGAAATTTGTTTCAGTGTCTAGTGCGAAACCATATTAGGTTTTGATCAATTTCTGTACCAGACATTCCTTGCTACACCTGTGAGGTTTCAGCCGCATACTATTCTAATGCGTGATTTCAAAGAACAAACGCAGCGGGCAATTACAGTGACTCAAATGGTGTGAACGCGTAGCTGAGAAATTGAGTAAAACGTTTTGAAACACGCAGTACCGGTATTCGTTGTTGGTAACTTTTCCCCGCCCCTGATACGGTGTAAACGGTACTATTATAATAATACTATTGCAATAGTATTATTAACGCTACTTCTACAATATATAATAGTATTAGTCTTCGGTACGAAACCTCTCAATTCGTTTCCGCTAGTGACAGTTGTGGAATTCGCAAAGATCACGGTTTTATTAGCATTGTTTCATAAGTATTTGGGAGCAGGTCGTATGTTATTAGACATTAAAACCAATAAAAAAGTTCTCGTGTGTGTACCCATATACATGACCTAGTGACAAATTGGACACCTCTGAATCTGTATGGCGGCTTCTTAGAGACGCCGGAAAGGTCATAATCAATGAAAAGATTTTCTACCTTTAGAGAATTAAATTAATTTAATTAAAATACGAGAGAGAATTAAAAAATGACACTTTGAATTCAGTATGGCGTACAATGAGATGCCACATCGGTATGGCATACGACTCCTTCACATTTTGGCTAACGAACAATATACAACAAGAATTAGCTGTGTACTCATTCTCCAGGAGCATAGATCTTTTCGACATGTTAAAAAATATTGTGCAGCGCAACGCCGACACTTTCAGGCCGCCATACTGCGTTTCCCTGTTCTTGTGCTGCCACTGCAATCGCACGCTAAAGACAGAGTAAATGCAAAGTATAGAATGACTCAGAAGTTGAACAGAAATTGATCAGTAATTTGGTATCGTCTTTTCGCTCTAAACCGTCACTTTTTTGTTACGTGTCGTTCATTGTCCTTCATCAACTGCCCAAATTTGCGCGTTTATCAAACCACCTGTACAAAGTCGCCAGTATGCTTCAGAAATGTTTGTCTGTACTTTTACAAACACTCACTGTATTTTTGTTTTGTATTTGATTTTGGTAGATCGTATGTGACAACTCTGTATATTGTAAACAGGAACTTGCCATAAGTGTCTGATGAGTGTGTTGCTTATGAACTAAGGCAAATTGTAATTTAGAGATATTTTCGATTCCACTAGTGAACTTCGGAAGGGGATACAGGAGTGAAAATTGTGCTTTCATCTTATGTTTGAAGTGGCCTAATTAATTTAAAAAATGTAATAAGTCGCTTTCCATTCCTATAAGTACCTATGCATTTCATCGGGAAAACTGTGAATGACACCAGTCCTCAACCATGATTCTTAATCATACGAAGAAACCAGTTTCGGAACATAAGGACTGTATGGGCTCCGTCTTTCCGGGTGCGTTGTAGCCCGTAATACTTCCTATAAACAAATTGTGAAATGCAGAGATGTTCCGGAATTGATCCCTTGTTTCGATTTTCCACATGCCTCGCAACTCTTGCCTAGGCGTGGTCAGTTGCGGACCTTGTGTCTCTCGACCAGGGGGGGGGGAGGCTTAGCCAGTGCGACATCTGCCGCAAGCATTCCCGCTGAGAAACCCATGATGAGGATAGGAATGTAGGGATCAACATAACATCGATGTTTCCAAACATCGTTGTTAATTTTACATCACTCAAAAATCACTAATGTTTATGCAGATCGAGATTTTTATGCGTAGTTGTGTAAGCTCTCACAATAATGTTTGCCAGATGTGTATGTAATATGAAAGTACTAGATGTATTTATTGTTTTGTAGTTGAGAGCGAACTGACAAAACAAAGATGATCAACAATGATGAGAACAATTAACACATCTTTTATCTTATTAGGTAATACAAATATAATACACCACATTAATCAACGAAAACTCGTCTAACTTATTATTTTTCACTCATAACCTTAGCCTGAAATAATGTTCAGTTTCAACACAGTCCATCGTGGTTCGGTTTTCTTTGATCGTGATCGTGGTGGAAAGGTAATTTTAGTCTTAATAACAAGCTATGATTCCGAGACCCCTTTTACATTTCCACTGCGAAGTTACCGCGCGAGGTATGTGGTAAGGATCATCGTAGCTTGCAACTATATTGAACTGTCAACGCTACATTACTTCACAGCCATGGTATGATAATCAGCACACGTAGGAGGAAGTTAAGAAGTGTAACGTCGCACATGCAACACAATCTTGAATTTTAATGGTAGAATCAACACCACTCGTTGAGGGTTAATGAGTTATCCACATTTTTGAAGTCGTGTAAGAGTTGCCTACACTATAAAAAAAATACAGTAGACCTGTCGTAATGCGCAAACACTTTATTACCTTCGAAAAAGAATGACCGTTTTTGTAATGTCTTACATCGTATTTTCATGAAACGCATAATGTAGTCTTAATATGCGAATGCACTTCACGTGGACTGGGGATAGTATAAGGGACTCTCAAAAATTCATTTTTGTTGAAATCCCAGGCTTTTCGAAAATATGACAGTTCACAATTTGTCGGCGTCTTCCTACAATATTGAAAACTATTTTTTCCTAAATGAAATCTATTGTTAAAAAATAGATCTTCAAATAAGTTCGTTTATAATATTTTTTGAAAATGAGTAGTTTTCGCGTAATTTTGCGTGAAATATAGGCAATTTAAACAGTTTTTTCTAAGAAACAGCTCCTATTAAAAATAATTTTCCTTGTATGTGACAAAGGATGATAAGAATTTGCCGCTTTCACATTATTAGCGAACTCTTGCTTTTTTCGAAAATTGCAATTAACATTACCTAAGTACAATATTGAAGACAGAGATTTTTGTCTTAAATGAACTCCTTTCTAAAACATCTCTTCTCCAAAAAAGGTCATGTACAATTTTTTGAAGAAAAAATCTAGTAGTTTTTGCGTAGTTTCTGCATGAGGTTAATGCATTTTATGAAGAATAAAAATCATTTTCTCCAGCTCCAATTTTTTTCTTTCCCCTCCACACACACACACGCACACGCACACGCACACACACACACACACACGCACACGCACGCACGCGCGCGCGCGCGAATTGAGGGACGCTTAAAAATGGCGCAGTCTCGTTTTCATTTAACTCTCCAAATTTTTGAAAATGGCAAAGAGAAATAATGTGAGAAAGTATGTAGTGTTTTAGCACCACTGATTTAGAACATACTTCATTAAGGGAAAAATCTGTCTGTAGTTTTCCAATATTATCTTTTGATATTTTCGAAAATACATTGTTTGGAGCTTTCTTTGTTCTTGGTGACTGCGGGTTCTTCCAGTGGATCGATTGGCGCTTAGTTTCCGGGTCGCACGTAAAAACCCATGATTCATCTCACGTAATTACTTTTTCCAATTGTCTAGGATCATTTTGAGGCCGTCCATAAATTACGTAACGCAAATTTGGAGTATTTTCAATACCCACTCTCCCCTTGTAACGTACCCGTAATGCGCGCTTGAACTCACCCTAAATAATTACGTAACGTTTGCTACAACAACCCCCTTGTAAATGCAAGACGTGAAAATAAATTATAGCACAATAAAGACATTTTCTATTTATTTTACTTACGTTTTAAAGTAATTAATTGTAATTAAAGTAGAAATTAGTTGGCGATGTTGGCTGCACCTAACAATGAGATCGGGACACGTTGTGAAAGAAGAATGCTTGGGCGAGAAATGGTTGATCACAAGCTATGCACATGCCGCGCCGTCGAGTCTGATGCGAGAGTGGAAGTCTACAGCGCAAATTTAAATGAATTCTAGAAAATTCTTCATATCAGTTTTGAAATTTTTTTTCGTAATCTTACAGATTAAAAAAAAGTTGAAAAAATGTTTCCATTTATTGTAACAATTTACAACTAATAACTTTAGTTTATTTGCATTTTTAAAACTAATTAGTTAATATTTAATGTTTTAATACAGAACTCAAAAACGTAATTATTTCAGCAAATGTTGAAACATGAAAAAAATAAAGATCAATGTTAAATAACACTTAATACCCCCTACCCCTATTTACCGCAGCGTAACACAGCCTCTGACACCTCCCCCTCTTTACCGTTACGTAATTTTTGGGTGACCCCTTTCAATGTTTTTCAAAATGTCAAAACTAATGTTCATGCGTGAAGCCTTTTGTTCCAGCGTGGGGATCTTGCCCACCATTTTGGAACAAACTTTCCACATGTTAAAGTGTTCATGTAAAATCTATCGAATTGATTCTTTGTCGACTCCTACAATCTCGGCAACTGCACGGATTCATTTTTTTGTTCATTTTCGAAGTAGAAGGACGTCCTGGACTCATCTTCGATTTTTTTTCTCGCCCTTCTCTGAACCTTTTATGCCACTCGAAAACCCGTGTGCGTGACATTTACCCATCACTGTACATTTGTAAGAGAGAATAGGTGTCTGTTGCGGACGTGCCGAGTTTCACTAAAAATTTCACGTTCACACATTGCTCTATTGAGACCCCTTCCATTTTTCCGACGAGCGGGGCACGATCCTATACGAACTAAGGTCCTGGCCCCACTGACCAGGATACGGTCGTGACATTGCCCTGAATGTGAAAGGGGGATGTCTGGCGATTCGACTATGTGGTGTTTGACTTTGAGGCTCGCGCAGTTTGTTTTACAAGAAGTCAGTCCCGTTTGTTTTTAACCGTACCTATCTGAGGAATAGCCCTA